CTCTTGGATCGGTCTTGAATATATAAAACAATATGGGATAACGCTGGAAGTTGTTCATCCGTATAAGGGGATACCGCAAGATACAACAATACCTAAGGTAAACTGAATCATATTATTTTTTTTTAACAAAGGTAGTTTATTTAATTCTACAAATAATAACTTTTATTTCATAAAACATATTTATAACAGTTCCCCAGATTTCGGATAAACAAGGTGATTAACTTGATGCGCGCTCCATTAACTAAAGTAATGAAAATTATTGGCACACAACCAATTATTGGTCGGATTGACTCATGTTCTAGTTTCGAAAACTTTCGGGGACGTGTAAGTTTGTTATAATAGTATTCAATAAAATTGTCAAGTATGATATTTCGGTTTATTGAACTCATCTTAATTTTATTGTCGCAGAAGATCTATCGTAGGCATAAATTAAAACCAAATGAAAAGCCCTTTGTGCATGGTTTATTAATCGTAGGATATGGGAAGGACAAATGTGGAAAATATTATTACATTGTTCGTAATTCATGGGGTAAGAAATGGGGCGACCGTGGTTATGCCAAAGTGGCTGCTGAATTGATCACTGTACTGCATTGCGTGGGAGATATAATTGTGGATTAGGATGAGCATAGCTGTCGTGTCTTCATCTTGTCATCTTAAGGTATTCCAATTTTTTATTACTTGTATAATTTTCGATGAAGCAATGCTAATTGGTAGTCTTGTCAATTAATCGAATTCTCTTAACATGTCAAAAGTACTACACTTGTTTATCATAATAAAGTCATTAATTTTCTTGGTTTTACGAATAATTTTCAGGTTTCAGGAGGTTTTGAGCACATCATGGTGTAGGGAAATTCAAAAGCATACTAATAGCTCTTTGTAATTCCCTTTTTTCCTTTTAGTGAATTGGCAAGCAACATGTAAAGTAGGGAGTAGTATGTGAACACTTGAAATGTTTTCGAAGTGCATTTTCTTTAAATTTCGAACACTTCAAATATCGAACACTTCATATTAGTATCTAGAGGGCGTTCCCCACATTTGTAAGCACCTTAAAATTAGTTTTTAATATTTTGGCCAAATCTCGCTAATAGTCCCTCATCTTAGTATTTTTGTCCCACTTTAGTTGTTGATATCCAAATTGATTCATTATCATCCCTTGACTCTATGATCTATCTCCATATATATAGTCCTTCATTTTGTATAATTTAGTTAATTTTAATGGAATCTTTTATTTCTTGGATGAAATATTCTATTCTTATAATTATTTGTAATAAACTATAAATAAATTAGTAAATACTAGAAAAAACATATATAATTGAATATATATATAGATGACATATTATAATTATTTAAATATGTTTCTAAATTCAAGTCATCTATCCACAAAATAAATGATTTGTTTTGAATTAATATAAATTAATATTTTGTAGAAAATAGTAGGTTTTTTAGTTATATTTTTATAAGTTATATTTCCGTTGGATCCAAATATTATTTTAAATTACAAACTTTATTATTTAAAAAAAAAATCATAATTTATCAAAAATAATTCTAACGATGGAATATTCCATTCGTTTTAAAAAAATATTTCGTTAAAGTTAACAGATTTATACACCAAAGATAATAAGATGAATTATAGAGATGAATGATCAAAATGAGACAGTTAAGACATGATGGACTAAAATAGAATTAAATATGAAGATGATAAACCATTAATGATATTTGGCTTAACATTTTATATAGGGGAAATACGCAATCTGAAATAATTTACGCGGCAGCAAAATTACGAATGTCATTCACAATAGTCTTCTCTTTCTCTCTTTAAAAATCCCCAAATCTACCCAAACCCCAAAACCCCCCAAAAGCCCCAAAATTCACTAAAACCCTCAACCTCTCTCACAAATCCTTCCAAATCCAAAAATCTCGTCAATTTGAAAGGTAATTAATCATCTAAAGTAGTTATATATATTGAATTTGTGGTTAATCATGTGAAAATCCCCAAACAATCGCGATTTGGGGTTGTTTTAGTGTTGAGTTTTCGAATTTTCCACGCCGAAAATGGGAGTGTGAAAGCAGTTTCCACGCAAACCAGGCGTGGAAACTGCTTTCACACGCCCATTTTGGGTGTGGAAAAGTAATTCGGGCGTTCGATCCCGACGCCGGTTCTGAACCGGCCGTCCGGTTCATTTTTTTTTTCGCCCAATATAAACGAAATAATGTATTATATTTAAATAAGAATTAGTTAACAAATTCAGTCTAGCCTAGTTGGCAGCAGTGTATATGTATTAATTTTTTGTCCAGTATAATGAAATGAAAAAAATACAATTAAATAAGTATTAGTTATTAAAATGGCAACAAAATGAAATAGTGAAATGAATAAATACAATTAAATAATTATTAGTTATTAAAATGGCTACAAAATGAAATGAATAAATACAATTAAATAAGTATTAGTTATTAAAATGGTTGTAGCCTATTTGGTCAGGCAAGTTAGTACTTCCACAATATGGACCCGTATTTGAATCCTTGTAGCAACACAAATATATAATTTTTTTGATTAAAACTTAGTCTGCGCGTACGCCCAAACCCGGCGTGAATCAAGCGTTTTTAGCGCCCAGTTTGGTCGTGAAAATATATAACTTTTTGAATTAAAACTCAGTCTGCGTATGCACCCAAACCGGGCGCGGAAAGTACTTTTGCGCGCCCAATCTGGGCGTGAATCGGGCTTTTTAGCGCCCATTTTGGTCGTGAGTCGCGTTTTCGCGATTTATAGAATAAAAACGAACAAATTTTACTTAATTTGGTTCCGTATCTCGATCCTCATTCGATGCACTCATTTTTCTTTGCAAATCGCTACAATAACATGGGTTTTGGAACGATTTCTAATATAAAAGCTATTAAAAATAAAATTGTAGAGAGAGAAAGATAGGTTGATAGTGGATTTTTTAAACCCACATTCGTAATTTTGCTACCGCGAATATCACCTCCCATATGCAATACCCCCTCATTTAGAAAATATTTTGAATTAAACCCTTGACTTTAAAGAGTTTTCTCGGAATTGTTAAGTTGAAAAAGTGAAAAACTTCAATATAAAAAAAAATGACTACAGTCATATTCAATTATTGTCATATTCGGTATTGTAAATTTGTCGAGAAAAGAATTTCCATTTTTTGTTTAAAAAAAAAAGTAAAAAAAAATTAAAAATATTTGTTTATTAAAAAGATATTAAAAAGATAAATAAATAAATAATGGCTAAATAGAATTCGAAATAATAAAGAATAAGAAATAAAAAAATCAATTTTTTTTATTTGGTAGCATATTTTTAGGAATTTGGAAGCAGGTTTTTAGGAATTATATTATTGTTACGGAAAGAGAGAAAAAAAGAATAATTGAGAATAATTATGCTAATTGTCATAAGGGTAGAATTGAGAATACAATTTTTAGGAGTTATCACAAAAAAAAGATCTAAGCAGTGAACATATTACAATTTCTTATTTATATAAGGGGTTTATTGCTAATGACCTCTTTTATATAACTAGTTCATCAAATTTAATTTGTTTGTCGTCTAAATGTTGCACCATATTTTGCATAACATATTGTAATAACTAGTGTGAAATCCGCCAAGTTTTGGAATTAAAAGATTGGCAAAGATTTGTTTTCCATATTTATTTTGAAATTTATTAGAGTCCTATTCTTATAATACTTCTATTAGGACTTAGATTTATTTCCATGTATTGTATTCTAGTTAGGTATCTTTTGTACTTATCTAGAATAGAAGTTGAAATCAACTAGGATTCTATTACCTAGTTAAATAGATTTCTTGGGGTTCAAGTTAGGTCTTAGGGCTTATTTTCGTGGCTATATAAGCCTCCAAGACATACAAGAACCGTGTGTATTATTTGGGAGAAAAACCACTTCATAGCATCGAAGTTTTGCCAAGGCGTTCTGCAGAGCAGGACTGTGCCATCGTTGCACTGTGCCAACATATATAGATTTGCTGTATAGATCTCAAGGGAGATCAGCCGCGTTTTCTGAAGGGAATTCAGGCTTGAAGAAAGTTCAAGGCACGCGGAGTGGAGCTGCTAGAGAGAGACATGGAGTTCGAGTTGTGTACAAGAACGGCATATTACATAAAGAGGGAGTCTTTAGTGTTTTTAATAAGTCCTATTAATGTACACTGTAAATCTGAACTAGTGAAATCGTTTTTGCAGGTCCACGTGGATGTAGGGCACATTTGTGTCTGAACCACATTAATTCCTTGTGTCCATTTATTTGCTTTAAGTAGTTTATAATTGTGTTAACACAAGAATTATAGTTGTAACTGAATACTGTTTCCACAACTTAACTGTTACAACTTAGGTTAATTGATTTCTATAGGCATATAAATCAACAATTGGCATCAAGAGCCTCTCACTAGATAAACATAGTGTGTGATTTTGGGAATTTGATTTACTTGCCATTTATCTTCCATAGGAACTATGAATGCTCATATGGAAGGCGGTTCCACGACTCGCCCACCACTGCTTACTGGAACCAATTACTCTTATTGGAAGACCAAGATGAAGATGTTCATCAAGTCAATGGATGAAGATGCATGGCGCACGGTTCTGACTGGCTGGAAACGACCTGTTGCCACACATGAAAAAGGAATTCAAACTGAGAAACATGAAAAAGACTGGAGCAAAGCTGAACAGTTTGCCGCAAATATGAATTCCAAAGCATTGAATGTCATATTCAATGGAGTTGATATCAATCAATTCAAAATCATCTCAGCATGTGAGTGTGCCAAAGAAGCATGGGAAAAATTACAAACAGCTTATGAGGGGACAACCTCTGTTCGATTATCAAAACTTCAGATGCTCGCTACTCGCTTTGAGGATCTTCGAATGGAAGAGAATGAAACCGTAAGCGATTTTAATTCGAAACTATGAGATATCGCGAATGAAGCTCATGGGCTTGGTAAAACCTATCCTGAAGTCAAGCTTGTTCGTAAAGTGTTGAGATCAATGCCAGACCGATTCGCATACAAGGTCACATCTATTGAGGAAGCAAGTGATGTGGACTCATTGCGACTTGAAGATCTGATGGGAAATTTGCAGACCTTTGAGAACAAGTTGAACATCAGCAAAATAGATAAAGAAAGAAAAATTGCTCTACAAACAGTCGCTGTTACAACTTCATCAGTGCCCCTAGTTCCCATGACAACACTCGAAGTCGAGCTAACAAAATCCATGTCTCTAATAGCTAAAAACTTCGGAAAACTCGTGGATATGAGTGGACATCCTACAAGTTTTGAAAGAAAACCCAGAAGTCCTACAAATAAGCAGGAAGTGAGGAAGGGGATTCGATGTAGAGAATGTCGCGGCTATGGTCATATTCAAGCTGAATGTGCAAACACTCTAAAGAACCAAGGAAAATCACTTGCCACAACTTGGAGTGACAATAACTCTGAATCTGATGATGATAGTGAAGCAAGTGATGCTGAAACAAGTATTGACTTATGTGGTACATGCATGGTTACTGGTGTGACACATAATGATGTCACATGCACTGAGCCGTCACATCTTAGGATCACTAAAGTGACACAGGATGATGTCTCATGCACTGAGCCGCCACACCTCAGGTATGCTACTCGTAATCTCGAGAATCATAGAAATTTAAACACATTTTGCCCACAGGAGAAGACGATTCAGAGGATGATGAAGAATGCTCCATTGAGATGATTCAACAGCAACTGAGTGATCTTGTAAAGCAATGTCATGAGGTTGGTGATGAAAACAAGCGTTTGAAGGAGAAAGTAAAAGAACTGGAAGAGGAGAATGAAGCAGTTAAAGTCAATCTGAAGGCCAAAATCGATGAGCTTGAATTGGAAAATGAGGTATTGGAGGTAAAACATGATTTTGCTTTGAAAGATATTGACAATCTAAAAGAATTGCTGAGACATTTGCGAAACAATGATTGCAATAAGACAAGGCAGATCAAGAAAAATCCTCCTCCAATGAAAAATGCTGAACCCTGCCTCAACCTGAAGTGTGACAACTCCCCTGTCGCAACAACGTTAGAGGCATCAGTCAGTAAGTTAAATCGCACTACGATTCTTCCTTCAAACAGGTTAGATGAAATTTTAAATGCTCATCCCTCAAATCCTGATAAACTTGGTCTTGGCTATATTGGGAGTAAGTTCGATGGTAAACCTAATCCAAATCGAAAAATTAATTTTGTGAATAATACTGTCAAACCTACTCCACAACATGTTGCCTCACAATCTTATACAAAAAAGTTTGTGCCAACTTGTCATTTATGTCACAAAGTAGGACATGTTAGGCCAAAATACTTTAAAAGATGGAAATTGATAAATAAGAGTTTAGCATATCAATCATCCAATTCCGCTGCATGGGATCACAATTCCCAAAGAAGATACTCTGATAATAAATGGATGAATAAGTATAATGCAAACTGCTTTCCTGCTATTCTTTCTTTAAAAGCATGTACTACGAACTCTTGGTATTTTGATAGTGGTTGCTCCAAGAATATGACAGGTGTACCTAATTACTTAAAGAACATGCATAATGTGTCTGGTGGACAAGTTACTCTTGGTGATGGAAACAAGGCCTTTGTGAAAGGAGAAAGTAACTTGGATGTCGGAGGGTTACCTAACCTTGAAAACGTTTTGTATGTAGAGGGTTTGAAATCAAACCTACTCAACGTAAGTCACCTATGTGATCTATACGACTCAGTGTTGTTCACCAAGCGTAAGTGTGAAGTGTTTGATCGAAACCACATGTGTGTTCTATCTGGTTATAGATCCTCTGATAATTGTTATAAAATTGATCAAACTGACCAAGTTGAACAGTCTCCCCTCGCCACCTCTGATATCACAGATATGTGTTATCATCGACTGGGGAATTTGAATTTTCAGGATCTAACACGAAATATCAATGCAGGTTGTGTGAAAGGTGTTCCCCAACTAAATTCCAATACACCAGATTTATGTGGAGAATTTCTAATTGGGAAACAAACTGAGAGCATTGGAAGAGAAATACCAGAAGACAAAATCACAGAAGTATCAGTGCCGACATCTTATGTCACAACTGAAGATGTTACCACTGGTAAAGAAGGTATGAAAACTTGCAATAAGCCAAGGTTGACTACCTGGAAATGGTCAGGTATGTCTATCTCACTTCCACTGTTGAACCAAAAAAACATCAAAGAAGCAATTCTTGATGAATTTTGGGTGTTAGCCAAGCTTGAGGAACTTGAGCAGTTTTCTCGAAATGACATGTGAGCACTGGTTCTGAGCAATGACAAGGTAAAACAACTAGATGATGAGATATTTATCTCACAGAGCAAATATGCCAAGAACGTGGTAAGTAAATTTGGGTTGAAAAAGGCAAAGCCTTTAACAACACGAATGACTTCAATTGAGAAGTTGGGACGAGATTGTGACGGCACAGACGTTGATTCCACACTATGCATGAGCTTGATAGAAAATTTGTTTTATCTTTCTGCTAGTAGATATGATATTTATTTTAGCGTAGGTATTTGTGCTAGGTACCAAGGAAGCCCCAAAGAGAGTCATTTGAGTGCTGTAAAGCGCATTATCCGATTTGTTAGTAGAACACCCGAATTGAGAAAATGGTATTCAAAAGATACTAACAATTGTCTTGCAGGGAACAGTGATGCTGACTGGACAGGAGATGTGGATGACAGAAGAAGCATCACAGGAGGTTGTGTCTACATGGGTAACAATTTGGTATCTTGGTACAGTAAGAAACAAAACTCCATTTCCTTATCTAATGCTGCGTGTGAGTACATAGCTGCAGGTAGTTGTTGCACTCAACTTCTTTGGATGCAACATATGTTAAATGACTATGGCTTTCATGAAAAACTCTTGCATATCTACTGTGATAATGAAAGTGCTATAAATATCTTAAAAAACCCTGTCCAGCATTCTCGAACCAAACACGTAGATCTTCGACACCATTTCATCAGGCAACTAGTTGATCAGAAACGTGTGACTATAGATTATGTGTCCACAGACAATCAACTAGGTGATATTTTCACAAAGCCTCTTGATTTCCTTAGGTTTTATTCCTTGCGTAAAACGCTTGGAATTTGCCATGTGCAAAACTGAATTTTCTATGATAGTGCAATTAATACTTGTGTCCGGATTGCACTTGATTTTTTTTCTCGGACATTATATGTGTCACCTGCTCATGTGACATCATTTTTTTTGGGAACAGAAATGATGGGAGTTTTCATTTTGACTAATGGTTGTGTGTTAGTTTTTGTGAATTAATTTTTGTTTCCACAGTTAGCCATGATAGAAGTGTGTTGCCCCCTCTATCGGGAGTGATCAATGTCTATGACCTCATTCATCTCAAAGATCATACCTCTATTGGAAGAATTATGCTACCGCATATGCATTCCTGGCTTCTATTTAAAAGCTATGTGGATTCTTAAGGAGGTTGCCCTCCTAATGTCTACTTGAACATCATGTCAAAAAAAAAAAAAAAAAAAATGGAGAAACAAAGTAGTCCTAATAAAAAAAAAAAAAGTTGGGATGATATATATTCAAGTATATATTAGCGAAATTCTCCTTGAAGTTCACGATCGAATTGCTGTGCTAATCGCATACGCATTCATAACCCTAATAAAATTACCTAATTTATGGTTTCTTGAGTATGGTCGTGGGGTTATAGTTATATCGTGCATCCAAGAGTTTGCTCGGTGGCCTTCTATTGTGATTCACTTTAAGATTATCAAATTAATTCATGAAAACCAAGCCCTCAACTTTTAATCTTGTGATCTTCTTGATTTTCTTTTCCTTAAAAAGATGTGATTTTTTTTTCTTTTAAAAAAATAAAATAAATAAATAAATAAATAAATAAATAAATAAATAAATAAATAAATTTTCTCTTTTTTTTTGGGCTTTTTGAAATTTTTTGGCTCCTAGTTGTCTCTAGCCACGTGGCTATGGCCATGTCATCTGTCTTCTCTATTTTTTGATGTTTCGTGTGGAGAATGTCTTGTTTGTTATTGGTCACGGATTTTGTGGGATCTTCTTCTGATTGAAAAAATCCGGTATTGAAGAGTCCTCTCTTTTTCTGCCTCTTTCTCG